GTTGCGTTCGTTAAAACTCGTGGAAAAATAAACGCGCGAATCCACCAGACAGCCCGAAAGTACATTCCAAGTTGAATTCCAACTGATTCGCTTTTTGTTTACTCTATACTCTTGAAGTGCGCAAACTTTCTTCGCCCGAGATTTCTGCCAATGTATCGCAACCCGAAGGCTCGTAAGGCTTCCGAAAAACCGAACTTAACTTTCCACGAGCTCGGCTCCGAAAACAATGTCTTCGAACGCACTTTGCCAGCCCCGACCCTCCCGCGAGTCAGCCGTGACAATGGCTTCGATGTTTCACGGCACAAAGCTACTTGGTGGAAGCCTCTCGTGTATACAAACGTACATCTCCCCCTTTCTGTCTTCCCCCTCGTTGTTATTCACGAAGCATCCAGCCTACAGAGAGGCCAAGGAAAACTCCTGCGAGGGGAAAAAGGAAGGTCATCGAGATCTCTTTTTCCTCCCTCCTGCAATTTATATACTTGCGATGCGTCTTCGATAATACACGTGATCTCTGGATCGTAAAAGCTCGATTTTTCCTCACTTAAAAATTTCCACCTCCCACGAGGAAAATAGTGAAACTATACTACATCCCAACGACTTAATCGCACCCATCGATGGTACCTTTATTTGCTTACGAGTCGAGCTTCAGCTATTTGTTGGTGGGTAAATGATGACCAGTGCCAATAGGAAGTGCGACATTGTGGACATTGGGTACCCTCGTGCATAGGGTTAATTCAAGTCCTCGCAAACTCGTGTACTTATTTTGTTGGTAGGGGAAAAAAATTTGGCCTTCGCCTTATTCTCCCATTCTTTGATCTAACAGTTCTTTTTTTTCGTGCTTTTAATGATGCAGTTGTATTTTAACGTAAGGGTTGATCGATCAGAAAGCAGAACTCCGATCGGTGTGTGTTTACTACCAAAACTGAGACATTGGAAATTTTGCCACAGATAATCGTTGGCGGTGAAGAGTGTAGGCAGAACTTGGGGTTGCACACAGCGACACTTGATTTCAACCGATGGATGGTTGATTGAATGCAGAGTGACACGTGTATTTGAATGGGCTTGTCTCCCGTTCCATCCGGGCGCTCCATTAGGTGGACCCACATATAGCCTGACAAAAAGACTCCTCTCCTCCCGTGCCAAGACTCTCCGTAAAAGACGCTAAGTGCGCGAAATTGCGGCTCACGCGATCCCGGGACTGATTTATCGCTTGCCCTTCTTCCCCGGCTTTTCTCCCTCTCTCTCTCTGCGCCTCGTGAGAGCGTGAAATTTCAAACCTTCCCTTCGCCGTACGTCTCTCCCGGAGCTGCTCAATTACGCGGGAAAATCAAAATTCACGGGTTCGTCAAAAAATGTGCAAAAGTATCATACGAAGCAAAAATAGTTAATCAGTCCTCGGGGGAAAAAAAACGAGCTGTGGGTACACGCGAAACTTTTACTGTAACTTCTACGTGACGTCCATGTATATATAGGTGCGGAGAAAAATGTCCAGGTGTAAAGAATCTCGAAGATTTTTTTTTTTTCCTTCGGGCAGCAATCATTCGAAGAACAAAGTGACAACCAAGTTCGAAACTGCAACTGACTCGTCTCAACCGGTGCGTATCCACTTCCTCCGTAACTTTCTTAAACGTCTCAAGCGCACACAACCAGAGCACTGTACACCACCACCAGAGGGTTGGGTGGTGCGCGAAAGTGATTCATTCCGCAGGAGAGAGAGAGAGAGAGAGAGTTAGAACTGAAAAAGAATCTGCGGTATGCCGACTACTCGTAACTTTTATCGCAGATTTATGCACGCCCCTTGCGTTTTCACTCCTCCTTCCATCCCCAAACCCCCTTTTGTTCACTATGTGAAAAGCACTTTGTTTGTTCAACTGTTCACGTAAGTAAACCAAACGGACGTGGTTTATATAATATCGAGTACACTTGTTATCTCTGTTTGACCTTATTTCACGTGTACGAAAAACATATAATATCATACCATCAATGGTGTTTACGCTTATGGGTGAGCCGACACACTTTGGGGGATTGAGCGGAGTAATGCGATAATCCGTACCCTTACGCTATTATCATCATCGCCATAATCATCATCGAGGAGCTTGGTAATTTCGGGCGAGCCAAGCGGTCGTTATAATTACACGCGACGAAGCGCATTACCGGCCGTGCTGCCTGTACATGTATACACATATTTACAGGTACGACTCAAAGGGAGGCGCCTTCTCTCGCAGGCTGTTGAAGGCCATTGTTCCCCGAGCCTGTGTGGGTGTCGGTGTGTTGCGTACACGTGATGTATTCACTGCTGCTGCTTACCTCCACATGCCGAAATTCGGTCTGCCTAACGTTGTAATGCGTAATGTGTTTGAACGGGACGAGAGAGAAGGTTTAACGCGGTCTCGAGGGCTCCTGGTGTACTTGTCCGTTTGACTGTGGTAGTGAGCCCATTGAAAATGTGGGTTAAGCTCTTTAAACGGATGAGCTAATTGAAGTTCAACAATCAGAGAATTCATTACTCTATTATTTTTGCAAATAATATATACATCCCGTTTAGAGGCATACGCGTAAGGTAACATTGCACTCGAGAAGAGCAAAGAAAAATAAACTGCTCCAAGTGTGTTGTTCGAATATTATATGACCACATGATTTTTTTTTTTTTTTTTTCTTATGTAATACTAAAAAAGTTGTAATAAGTTAATTTTAATGTTGATTAATACTTGGTACGCTTTCAACTTTGATGTGCGGTCGTCTACAACATTACGTAGTGTGAAAGTTTAATCGACCCGAGTGCACATGACAAGTTTTCCCTTCGCTCGAGACAATTTGGAAATTTCAAAATTACCCATACAGGCTCCTAATTTTCTAGTATATATTTGCTAAACTTCTAAAGGAAAAACAACTTTTCAGACGTTATTGATTTTTCATAGAAAAAAATTTGCAGCTTTTTGATATTTCCTGTCTATTACTTTACTGAAAATCATGGGAATTTCCTGCTCTATACAAATAAACAAAAAAAAAATTAAAATTAAAAAAAAATTATCCTACGTGACACGACACGAAGTTTAGTGTTTACACTCTCTAACGAACGTAACATGATAATTTTGTCTCTTGTTACTCCTTAATTACCTGAAATAAAAATATTACATAATATTTAGTCAAGGAAAGTATCTCTTACGCTGTACCATTTTTATTTTCGTAAATGTTTCTCTTTGTTCTTCATTCGAGAAACTACAATTTTATGAACCAAAAACAAGCAATCTAAAATATAACGAGCTTATTTCCGACTTTAATCACCAAGAAACTACGTTATCATCCTTATTTCCAAGCTGACGAGGGGAAAACACGTTGCGCGCTATTACAGCTCACCGTCGTCGTTTTATCAAATTTCCTCAACGTTGAGCTAAAAATACACAACCCCTACTTTTTCCACGGGCATACAAATAATTACAAGATTAAACGAAATATAGATACTAAACAGATAAACATTTCTGTTATTAAAATGGGAAATAAAAATCATACAACGATATAATCAAGCAACTGCTTGATTTACGTTTACCATCATCACTCATAACGCAAAAAACTCCCCTCTGGAACTTGAAAGTAATGTAGAAAATCCTTAAGAGAATGTACTAACTCCACATTTATTACTCACTGAAACCAATACAAAAAGTATACATTCTTCCTCTTTTTCGTTTTATTTTTTTTATTTCATTGTTAGTAATAGTTCTTTCTAGTTCTGATAGTCTCTCACAAAACTAATTGATGTCAGAATAGAGGGATTCCTACATCGTGTCCAAAAGTGGACTTGGAGACTACATGGAACTTATTTAATAAGTAAGATAACTTTTTCACAGTTCATTTGCATAGAAAACTAGATTCGTTATAATTTCTTCACTTTTGATGATTAAATATCTTTTTTTGTGTACATATATTTTTGTTTGCACCAAGTTACACATTTAACATACAGAGTTTGATAAAATAACACAGATGATTGATAAAAATTCCCCGCGAATCTTCAAGTAATCTTATCGATCTTGACCACTATCTGGACGAATAGTATTTTAAATATCGAAAACGCGTGTGGTATATAAATCCCTTATTAACAACAAACACGGAGGGAGCATTTCAACCTTTGTAAATAATCAACAAAACACCTTAATTCGGCAATCGATCACAATTACTTTGGATACAGAAATTTCTAGATACCAGAAAATCTTGTATCACCATCTCCCCTGTCGTTATCTCCAGCGAAGCTTCCAGGTACGCAATGTTTCGTCAAAAGAACCGCCCACGAAATTATCACAGAGGTCCGATAGGAAATCAAAATCGTACCATACGATTACAACAATTCTATATTACTTTGTTTCGTCCACATTAAAATAATTGAGCAGCTGCAAACACTATATATTTCGTTCTGGTACTGTGAGATTGAATGTTGACGATCAATGCGACGTGTCAACGTTTGTGTTTATCAATTTGGATTTTGTATAATCGACCCCTAAGTAAAAACCCGTTTACAAATGTATACCGTAATGATAAACAAAAAAACATACTTATTTATGAAAACATAAAACGGAAATAATCTACCAAATAAGGAGACGCACAATTGGTGCGAAAAGTCTGCGATCGTCAACTCGAAAATCAAAAGATTGTACACAATTTTAAGAATGAAGTTCAAATATTTACAATTTAACGTTGTTGCTCGCAAACAAAATTAACCATTCGATTGACATTGTCGGTGAGAAAACTGACGCGTATTTATTAGAGCAACGCAACTATAATAAAACGCGTGCTCTTGACTTATCGTCATTATCCAAAGTTCAATGTCGATAGGAATATTTAATCCGAGACCTATGCGGAGCCCCCCCCCGAAATATCTCGAGTTCCCCGGTATCAAAGATAATGAGAGCAGATTTGCAGTGGCTGGTGATACTTCGAGGGGAGTATAAAGAGCCGGGACCTATCGCGTTGTCGTCAGTTTTTTGCTCATCGCCTGGTTACCTTCGCTTTTCTGGTCAAACAGAGCGAACCCAACCGCTACGGGCATGAGACGATACGCCACTGTTCTCGCCACTCTATTCCTAGTCACCAATGGGGCAATCGTGTCACCGGACATGTTTTGGGATTTTCCAAAACTAGAGGACCTGATACCCCAAGATTTGAATCTCACTGAGTACTCTATCGCTGTCAAGGCCGACCATCCACACGCTCACCTCAAAGTTGTGAGTAGACGAGATTCTATCTTCTCCTTTGTACATGTTGCTTTGACCTACACCATAATCAAAGCTTACACAGTTACCTTCGTTTAGTATATTTTTAATGGCAGGCAGGAACAATTTACAACCAAATTAATTTAGGCTAACAAAAGTTAGATACAGTGGTATATTTCAATCGTTAGGCTCACTAGCTGATTAAGATTACTCACTGTGACTGTTCTGCATTACTATGAGGGATATTTTTGTTTCATTTAAAAACAGTTTTGATTATAAAATCTTTGAAACAGACAGTTATCGCATACTGGTTTGGGGTACACATTTAACGACAAAAAAAATGAGTAAAAAATCACAGTACTTTGACATTTACTTTTCACAGTTGACTCTTCTTTCAACGTTACATCACCACGACCAAATAATTTTACTTTCAGTCATGACCTCAACAGAGATTTCCTTATCAGATACATCATTTGCAAAATACTATCAACGATCAAAGACACAATGCGATTTTCACAATGTCAGATACAATCATGTTGTTTAACGCGGACGCTTGATAAATATCTGATAAAATATTTTCGTTCTACGTAACTGGAACTCGATAAGACTAATGATTTTTGGCAACCTATCTGACACCCATCTTATTATTATTATTACTACTCGAGTGATCATCGGTTGTTTTTTTCTTATCCCAACCAAGGCCCAACGTTGAATGTTTGAAATTAATCTTCCGAACTAACTAATAGTGGACTCTCGAAACGCTAAAACTTGCCCGTGCACTTACAGCTAGAAGTCATTAGGCTCTACGGTTACGTAGCAGAGGCACACCATGTTGAGACGAAGGACGGCTACATTCTCGAGATGCATCGTATAGCGGGAAATCGGACTAACCCCAGCCCAGCGAACAAGCCCGTCGTCATCCTCATGCATGGGCTGCTCTGCAGTTCAATGGATTGGGTTATCGCCGGTCCCGATAGAGGCTTAGGTAATTGCATCAACTGCCTTCTCGTACCGCTCCTTGGCCTTGTCTCGAGCTTCGTTGAGCCACAGATTAAGGGATTAGGGAAAGACTTTGAGTGATTACAAACGATGCCCAACCAAGTGTATTCGACTGTGCCCCACAGGTTTCATCCTCGCTGATGCCGGGTATGACGTTTGGATGGGTAACGCCAGGGGAAACATTTACTCCCGGCTCCACTCAACTCTCTCCGACAGAGATCCAAAGTACTGGGGTTTCAGGTAATCCATCTTTTCCCAACCGTAGCATCAAATAAACGACAAGAGAGTGATGGCATTTTTAATTTTTCGCGCGTTAAAACGCAGTTGGCACGAGATCGGTTCGATGGATTTGCCAACAATGATCGACTATGTTCTCGAGACGACCAGCCAGAAGAAGCTTTACTACGTGGGCCACAGCCAAGGAAGCACAACCTTCTTTGTCATGATGACCGAACTGCCCCAGTACAACGAAAAAGTCCGCGCCACTTTTCTCCTCGGACCAGTTGCTTACTGCTCGAACATGATCAGTCCGATGTTCCAATTCCTCTCTCGGATCCTCAAGCCCATCACGGTAAGGTTTCAAACTTTCGTATAGTAAATGGAATCCACGTTAGTTGGAAAAATCACGACTGACCACTTTTGTATCAGATGGTGGCCAAATGGATCGGCCAGTACGAGTTCAAGCCGTCGTCCATGTTCTTCAACAAGTTCAAGGACATGCTGTGCTCGCACAGCCTCGTCGCGGAAAAGCTATGTATGAACGCCATATTCCTGATAACTGGGTTCAACAAGAAACAGTTCGACATGGTTAGTATTACATGATTTTTATTGTCCAAACGAACAGGAGGATCCTGTTTCAATGGCACCTTTTTGGCTTTTCCAGGATCTGTTACCGGCAATTTTAGCTCACACGCCGGCTGGTTCTGCCGTTGATCAGTTCGTGCACTACGGCCAGGTCATCAATTCCGGGAATTTCCGGAAATTCGATTATGGCATGACCATGAATTGGCTGAAGTACCGGTCAATCAAGCCACCGCAGTATAATCTCAACAACGTCAAGGTCCCGGTCTCGTTGCACTACAGCATCAATGACTGGCTTTCACATCCAAGAGTAAGTTTTCACAAATAATGATATTTTCCACTGCCGATGATGATTTTAATGGTTATGTGGATCTTACGAGTCGAATGTGTTTTCTGTAGGACGTAGAAAAACTTTATACCGAACTTCCAAACACCATCGGCAAATTTCGGGTCCCCGACGACAAGTTCAACCACATCGATTACCTCTGGGCTAAGGACGTGAAGGTACTGGTGTACGATAAAATTATGAACCTAATGAAGCGCTACAAAATTTGATGAAGCTACTTTATCTTATTAAATGTAATGTAAACGTAGATGAATAATTTATTTATAGTAGTAGGTAGATAGCGAAGGAGAGAACTGTGAAAGCTATATTTTTGTATTTTTATACGACTGACGTTGATTTTTTTTATAGTAAACAATGTGAATGCATGTGAACCAATGTGATAAAGAGTATTGATGTATCGAAAGATGGAAGAAAAAAAAAAGTTAATAAAAAATACAATATTATTATTATACGTGACAAGGAAAATTTGGCTTATTAAGTCCCTTTTAATACTCAAGTGAGAGAATCGTGTATCAAGCTATACATTTTTATTATTTTTAACCAATTTTTTGTGCTATCTTGCCAAAAAATAAAAAAAGTAGAGTGCATTGTGTAAGTGTAGCACTCAGTTTTTCAATCCCAACAGATTTCCTAGTCATTCATGAGTTTCAAACATCCTTTCCATGACTAATTGTCATCCTGCAGGAATAAGGTCGTGTGTATTCCTACCCGCGAGGAGTTGCTAAATCAATAGGAAGTTGATAACAAGTGATGATACCTACCATAAAGTTGGCTTAGCCCAGTGAGCGAGTGTCGGTGTTAGGAGGCATGTATATGTATCGTAACTGAGGCCGTTAATGTCATTTCTCTGTAGAACTCTCTCCATCGCTTGACAATTTTAGGGAATTATGCGTCAAACACAAAGAGGATTTTACATTTTGTCGGTAGCACGGCTTCGTTTCTACAAGCGAATTCAAATGTATAAACGTGCCACATTTATCGAAAAATGAAGAGCTAAGGACACTCGAATTTCTATGGTATAATTCTTTAGGAAATAGCTGTTTAAGTAAAACAGGGAAATAATTTAATGAAGTATTATCACAAGAACAGCTAATTATAAAAAAGTATTGCTTTTGTTTTGCTCAGTTAGCTGCATTGCAGTACAACAGGAGTAAAAGAAAAAAGATTGATCGGTTCAATTTACGTCCTGGACGTCAGATTTCTCGGTCTCCCTCTTTCCCTAGTCAGTCGGCAAATTAAACGCTATTAGACGTTTCATTAAGAGAATGTCTAGAATATTCAGAAGCTAAACAGGAGTACGATGCAGCAGAGAGTGTGTGTGCTTTTGACGTACGGCATCACATAGCGTTTAATTGGGACATCAACTGTACGAGGGAAATAACGCGACCAACATTTGCGATGAGACATGAACGCCTTTTTAATTTATGTGTACACTTGCACGCTCAAACTCGACGATAATTAATCAAAAGCACGAGCTTTCAGTCAGGGGGACTCCTTTTGTGGGACATTGATAAATACATGGTGTAAAAATAACGTAGAAAGATGAGGTAAATGGTTGTTTATGGATCACTAAATGATTGTATCCAAAGATCAAAAACAATAAAAAATAAAAGTTGTGAAAATAATGAGAATCCACCAATGGCCGAGCGAAATTGTTTAAAAACTAGCCATGGATCATCAAAATTTACGATCATGTATTTTTCAAACATGAAAATTAACTCCTCGACTAGAGCAAGATAATAGCAGGCTAATAATACACCAAGCTAGAAAAGACACTGGAACATAGAGAATATCAGAGAGAAGAGGGAGAGAGAGGCGCTAATCTCTCGACTGGTTGGGTGGGTCACTCCAGCCGTCTGATAAAGTGAAGCCAAGTCTCCAGGTCTGCAGACTTCGTTAGTCCTTATCTACGAAACTGGCCTGCAGAGGATAACGCAAGACGTACACACAAACACGTATATGTATATACATATGCATACATGTACAGACAGGCATGTACACGCGAATATGACTTTGCGCGGCTGGATCCAATTACACGGAGGGGAGGAGGACGATTAAGAGATCCGCGTGACGATTTATTCGCCCTTGTGTTTCGTCAGGGGTTACAGTGACCCTCTTAACTCGGCTCGTGATGATTTTTATCGGAGCAGAGCGACGATTTACTGGCGCAGATTAGCAACGGAGTCGCGAGTCCCGGAGTCGTTTATTTCGGGCGAGGGAAACGTTGATTAAGTCCGCCTGTTTAGGGATGGGCTGATGTAGGCCAGTGATGGCTTTTTTTCACAAGCGAGCAAGGGAATTGTTCGGACGGAGTTTTAAGTTTTGTTGGGCACGACAATGTGCTTTTCCCTTGAGCGAAAAGTTTAACCAGACATTAATCGTCTATTTTTAAACGAAATGTGTACTGTACGATGTTATTTATTTTATTTTATTTATTTATTTGTTTTTTTATTTATTTATTTTTTTTTTCAATTAAGGGGTGACAAGTGAGTTGTAAAAACTAAAAAGCACCACGTACAAGTGTTGTAATGAAGCTTTTTTCCGATGAAAAATGTGGTTGTCTTTTTTTTTCTGTAAATTTAACCTTTTGTTTTTTTTTTTCTGATGTAATTACGAACTGTTGTTAGTTTTTAATTAAAAGGAAAGAAAAAAAAGAAAATTGAGTCAAACACCTTTTCGATCAAAAGATTGGATTAATGTTCTACATCGAGCAAAGCCACAGTTAAATAAAACGAGTCGACAAAGTGAAACATCAGACAATGGAGCAAATATCATATCAGCAACGCCATCAATTATCAATCAATGAAATCGACACCCACAAGCTCACCCCCACCGAAATCAATCATACGCACGCAAACACGCGAGTCTCTCGGCATAAGACTCAATTCCCATTCATCTCGCGAAATCTGCAAGTCAGCATCATAATACGGTACAGAGAGAGAGAAGCTCCACAGGTCCGCCACAATTCAGCTCCTTCCCTCCGGCGCGCGGGGAATGCGCAACGCTATGCATTATACACGCGAGGCATCATACAAGAGTGCCTATACAGCTGCAACCAAGGAGCTACCACCTGCGACTCGACCACCCCCTTTTGTGCGTCCACCCTAACGCGATACGTCAATATATTCCGGCCATCCCTACTCCCCTGCTCAGCCTCGTCGCGTGTACACGCGCATGAGCGCCTGCTCCCCTCGTGTAAGGACAGAGGAAGAGAGACGGATCCTCCTCCCTGGGCCTTTGACGTGCTAAGCGGCCTTCGCCTCCCACGCCGCTCGAGTCCCGCGTATACATACAACGTCCTTCCGAGTGTCCGAGCGCGCGTCTTATGTTTCTTTGATTACGTCCGAGTCGAGTTCGATCAGCAGAGCCGAGCGGATGAATTATTGGCGCGAGGGTGTGCTCGGGGACTACTCGCAATTTTTTTTTTGCCCTCAGGGAACCTGATGTCAGTTTATCGACGTGTCGCTCCAAAAAAAAAAAAAAAAAAAAAACAAATGGAACTAAGGGTTTGTTTTTAATGTGAGTCCGAGGAACTGAGAAGATTGAGAATATTTCAGGGCATTAGCCGGCGGGATTCGTCGTTTACCCGGAAAATATGCCAAAGGGTCGAATTTTCGTTCAATCGAGCGTCGGTATTTACCGTAAGGAGCAGCGAGAGGAGCACCTGCATGGATGGAATCGGGAGCATTTCTTTGATCGAGTACCCGTACCGTCGGAGAGAAAAAAAAAAAATGCCGAACCGGATGTAACATTTTGCGGATGATTTCGTACAAAATCTCGTTAAAAAATGCAGGCCACCAATCGCTCATCTCATTGAACGTAGTTTTATTACTTCCGACGACAAGGTCATGGATTATTAACGTCGCAAAGAGATTCCCTGCAATATTCAGCATGAAGCTTTTTTTTACCGCTCGAACGTAAGCGCTTCTCTTTGATCTCGGCAATAAAAGCCTTCATGGCCCTTCATGTCCGTTAGTGGGAATATTTCACGAAATCAAGACCATAGGTAGCAATGGTAATCTAAGCTCCGACAACCACCACAGAAAAAGGGTTAAACTCTGATCGCGTGATCGCAGACAATTGCACGAGGTATACAAGTGCCGTGGGAGGAAAACAACGCAAAAGAACCCCAGGGGACTGTTGTTCTCGAAAAGGAGATCATTGCGAGAGTCACTCGTTTTTCGTAGCGAAACGTAACGAGGTTGTATCCAATTGCGCATGCAAAGTTTTTGGTGTAGCGCGTAACGCGCGAAAATGAATGTTCCATTACGGCGCGTTTGAAACAACCGGCGAGCGAGTGTCAGAAATTTATCGGATGATATTTCGAGAGGCGCCAGATTGGGCAGGGATGGAGGGAGGGGGGGGGGAGAACAGACAACTTGGTATTGAATTAAAACTTGGCTGATTGCGTATTTTCGGCGGACCGGGGCGTTTTCACGGATCACCGTGCACTGTACGCGATACTCGGGGTATGAGGCGTGATTTTAACAACGCGCGGATAAAGGGGCCGGGAAGAGAGGGGTCGTAACGAATGAGTTGAAAATTTGTTCGCTACAGTGCTAATGAAGAGGAAATTCGGAGTCGCTAGTATTAAAAGTTTTCTCTCGTCCTGCTGACGCTGCTGTTGCATTTGAGTTTCGCATTTTTTGGCCAAACAAGGGATTTACGCGCGGCTCCGCTGGAATTTAATTTCTGCCCGGTATTAACGTCGAAAACTTAGCTGATATACATATATTTGCGAATTTGCAATTATATCACGAGCACGCGCGTATAAACAGAGTTGCCAAGTAGATAAAGGATGGTATGGTCAGCCGAGCCTATGCGACGGTTAATCGAAACTTTATGGTTTTATTCGATGTGGTAGTACTGACTTTAAATACACGTGACCTACGAAAGATAATTATACTGCAAAAAATCGTATAGGACGCGAATCTACTTTATTTCAAACGCAAAAACTCAACTTGCGATTGCCGCAAGTAGTACAAGTCGCGATATGGTCAGACGTGACTTTCGTCGCGTAACAAAACTCCCTCCCGAATAGGAAAGAAACCTTTCAGACGCTGCACGCAAAATCGACAAGAAAAGGAGGAGGAGGAGGAGGACCCCGTAGAGTATACACCGGGGAAGGAAGGCCGCCTGCGCCGCTCCGCCGTGCAAGTGATGAGCCGCGAGTTTGCGCCGCTTCGTCCCTGTACAATGGGAAGCGGCAGAGAGTGTCACGGGTGTGCGCGCGCGCGTACTCGCACAGTACTATGTTTATACACACGCTCCCCGCTCGCGCTCGTGTCTTTGGCTCGCAGCTGTGTGTCCTAGGTCTGCCGAGCGACAGGTTGTTGTTGTTGTCGCTGACACTGGCCGTCGTTTGTTTGAGTTTTTTGTTGTTGTTGAAATATATATTTCCTCCC